TTTTTTTTTTTACTTATAATTGGCTGATTATTTGCATATTTAAGGGCTTCAGAATTTCTGTCTCTTATAATATGGTTGTTTTAATTTTCATCAATAGTTTTCCAATAAAATCTGATTTTACCTATTACCTATAAAAATATGATAGTTGGAATATTATTATACTTATTTATTTTTTCAAATTTTCTGAACATGCGAAAAATCTTGATAGGTACATGCTACCAACCCATAAATGAAGACTATTCCATTTTTTTTTTTTTTATTACATTGAAATGTCACAAAATATTTTCAATGCACCAGATAAAAACAAGTGTATTTTAAGAAAAAATAGTTATAACGAATAAAATTTACTAAATGGTTCTTGAAAAAAGGACAACTTTGAACATATTAAATAACATAAAAAAAATATTTAAAATTAAGAAGAGAAAAAACAGAAAATACCTGAGCACCATAACATTTTTTTTAAAAAAAAAAAGTAAAAACTTACAAAAATAAAATAACAAAAAGAATACAAGTTCCCCTCTTTACTTTTCTTATTTCATAAATGAATATTTATGTTGTGAATGTTATACTTTAATTTAAATTTTTTTCTAAAGTATCACATTTCAGTTTAAAATATATATATACTAGTAAATATCCTGTGCACATGCACATATTTACTAACATATTATAAGTAATATTTGAGAATTTAATATTAAAATTCTAGATAATGAACATATTGCATTTTCAAAAATTTGATCATTAGGAAAAATAAATTAACGATTTTATTATTATGAACAATTGTTTATTATCATTAGATAATAACAGTTTGATTATTATTATTATTATTATTATTATTATTAAAAATAATTATTTATAAAATCTAAAGTTATTTGACAATGCTATTAAAATAATTTACTAATTGTTTTTAAAGAAGTTTTTTCATGAGATACAAAAGAAAAATATAATATTGATGTTAGAATAAATAACTTGAAACAAATGTTTTTAATTATGTAATTTATATTTATTGTGAATTATTATTAGTTGGTATTAACAATAACTATTATATAATACAATAGAAAAAATACATGATTACACTCAATAGGTGTATTAATGTGAGAAGTAAAAGATATTAATGATAAATTTTGTAACGGAAAATGAAGGAAAAATTTAGAGGTTTTAATAAATATGTAAAATTAAATGCTATATGCCAGCAATAATATATATACAGATGTGTGTGTGTGTGTGTGTTTTGAAAAATTATGAATGTTTAATCAATATAATGAGAAATGTACAATAAGTTATGTAAGAGGACCATAATGAAAAATTAAGTTTGTCACACCTAAATGTACAATATACAGATGTCTTTGTTAAGAACTAATTATGTAGTACATATTAATTATTGAACTTGGGCAACAAGAAAAGAAATAAAACATTTTTCATTAGTACAACTTTTATATTATTTTGTCATTTTTTCTGTTGATTTGTACAGCTAAAAGTTGGGTCTGATTAGACATGGCCAAAATCCGGGCCGGGTCACGACCCGGCCCGGCCCGTCGGGTCGAAGGGCTGGGTATGGCGGACCCTGAACCGGCACGGCTTAGGTCTGTGCCGGGTCCATGACGGGCCCGGCCCGGGTCTTGACCCGTCCTAATAA